AAAAATGGGTGCGGGTGGGAACGTGGAGGGCTGGGTTCCCCAGAGACAGCCCTTACTGTAGGTCCTGGACAACACAGTATACAAACCACACTGAATTTTTTTTTTTTTTTTTTTTTTTTTTTTTTTTTTTTTTTATGAAAAAAAAAAAAGAGGACGATAAATCTTTCACTGTGATATATCAAAATAAGGCCTTGAACTCACAGAGATCCGCCTGCCTCTGCCTCCCAAGTGCTGGGACTACAGGCGTGGGCCACCACGCCCGGCTCACACTGAATTTTAAACAACAAAAAAGTATGAATAAAGGGAGGAATGGGGCTCCTACCGTACCCTATCCTCCAGCCCTAAATCATCTTTGATTAACAGAACCTCTTAAAAGCACATACTTTCCCCCTTTGTTTTCTGATTAATGCCTGAGTCACAGGGCCACAGCAATCCTCAGAACATCTGGAATTCTGCCCTTGGCCTTGATTAGACTGAGCAGGAGGCCTTGCTTGTTCCAGCCTGTCTCTCTGGCTGTCTGATCTAAATCAATACGTGTTTGCTAGCTACAGACCCATTGCTACTTCTTCCTGTAGGAGTTCCCCACCCCCACCCCAAAGCAATGTTAGAGTGGATGGAAAGAGACCAGCGGGAAGAATGATGTCACTTGGCACAGGGCATGTTCAGGGTTGGGAAACACAGCCCAACATCCATAATTCAACTTCAGTGTGTTATGGCCTTTATATTGGGCTTCCAACAGAGCCCGGCTGCCAGAAAGAAAAAAAAAAAAAAAATCCAAGTTCAGGATTCAAGATAATCCACCACACTTTGGAGTACCCTACCTTCCCTTAAATTCATTCCCCTACCCCCTCTCGCCAGGGTTTCCTGTAACCTAAGCTGGCCTCAAACTAGCCAAGAAGGATCTTGAACTTCTGATCTCCCTGCCTCCCAGTTTATGCAGTATAGGGATAGAATGAGGGCTTCAGGCATGCTCTATAGAAATCGGGCTAGACCACTAACTGTCCTCCAAACATGCTCAACACTGTCTGCCACCTCAAGTCCCCTCTACAGGGAACACTATCTTGGTCAGTGGGCATCCAATTTTAGGCTATGGAAAACCATAGCAGATGTCACCTCTTCCAAACACCCTCCACCTTCCACAGTGATCAGCCACAGGGCTTGTGACTTGTTCCTGTCTTCTGACTTAGAAGTCTGACAGTACTTATCACATAGTAAGTTATTCAATGACAACTTGGGGTGGTTTACACACACTGGGTCTTTCCATTTTAAGTCTATTTTGTTCTTCATTTCCAACATACTCTCCTTCCTCTATTTTCTTTCTCTTCCTCAGACTGAACATTTTAAATGCAGGCTCAATTCTATTCATTCAGGGTCAAGGCCTTCCATTCCCAGGTTCCGCATATCTTCATAAAACCTGGCAGGTAACTCTCCCATTATGAGAAGCAGCTGGTACCCATCCCAGCCCTGCTTCCACACTGTAGGGCAACAAAGGACCCAGTTCTGCCACACGACGGAGTAGGAATGGCAGTACCCATATGAACAAACAGGGAGGCAGAGGCGGTGAAGGAGGCAGGCGGTTCACAAGGCCTTGGAACTCTGACTTCCTCTGAGCTGTGAGTGTCATCTGGGTGTGGCGAAGGGCAGCCGCTCCCTGTAGTCAGAGCATTCCACACCAAGTCTGATATTAGAACTCGGACCACTTGGGTGCCATGAATGGGTACCCTAATAAGATTTGGGAGATTAGATCATTTAAAAGCTTCTCTGTGCCCCCTAACAGGCACATCTGGAGACCATGTCAGTGGAACCATCCCCTGATCCCTGCTGATGACCCAGCCCCTCAAATGTATGGGACATTTCTCCTGGCAGCAGAAGAAAAAACACACTAGACAATGAATGGGTAGAAAGAATTTTTTGCTAAGGACTGGAATTTCCTCTCATGGGCCACAGCTAGAAAAGGGTGTGGCCCAGAGTAAATGAAGGAAGAAGGTGCCTACGTGCAGAAAAAAGGAACATCCAACTTTTATTCAAGTCTCACAAGCAATTCTGGAAGGCAGTTTAGGGCCCAGAACCATATGCACTTCTTTGAGATGAGTTCAACCCCATGTCTGTCTGTAAAATAACTGGACTGAAGGGGTGAAAGGAGGCCCAGCTGGGTTGGGAAAGGAATATTAATTTAGGAAAACATAAAATTTCAAATCCAATTGTTATCTATACAATTCAGTTCACTTGGTTTTGTCTTTTTTCCTTCTTTCCCCAATAGCTTTAAAAATCTAAATAGCAGGGAGTGTGTATGTATGTTTGGGGGTGGAACATTGCCTTCGTATGTATGTGTATATCTGTATGTATGTGTATATATGTATAAGTGTGTAGTGTTTGGTCCAATGCTGTATCCCCAGTACCCATATCAGTAGGTAGAACATGGTGGACAACTAAAATGTATTTTGTGGGGCAAATGAATGTTTAAAGCAGCACACAGTGCCTGGGACTCCTTTATCGACACCCCACCCTCCCCTAATGAAACAGGCCTCAGTAGGCCCCACACCCTGCACACGCCAAAAAATGAGAACAAAAGGTCTGTTAGTGCCAGATTCCAGGCCCCAAGGTGCAGGAAGACAACACAGCCCTCAAAATCAATAGCAATCTAGAAGAGTGTCTGCTTGCCAGGAAAACTACTTAAATCAGAAATTACCCAGGAAGCCAATAGCCAGGACAGCATGCCAATCAATAGGGTACGTTAATAGCTCAAAGACACGGGATATGAAATGCTGAGGCTCCAGTCCAAGTTCTCAGTCAAAGCGACACCAGTGAGTCAGCAGTGGTTCCTGGTTGTCTACTGCCAAACCAAAACCCCTCAGCAGAGAAATGCGCATAGGTGGCTACTCCTCCCACGGCTGATGCCATGGATACTTCCAGAAAAACCCTTGGATGTCAAGATCATTTGTGCACTTAGGAAAAAAGAAACTCTTAAGCCCCAGAGGACAGCTCTCTGCCCTGGTCTCACCCACAGTCTCCCTTTAAGTTGCCTATTACAGCCCTTTGAGTCCACAGCCATGAAATTCTAAAAATAACAGATCTATTTAAATTAATCAGGTTTGAGATTTGTATCGTAAAAATCCAGGACTTTGAGACCACCAACCAGCTCTTACTTAATACTGATTCAATTTGCTAGGCTGTGTGGCTGGGAGCAACAGATGTTGGAATGAGGAGGAAGAGGGTGTGGCACTTAATTGCACAAGACTCCACAATCAGCGGAACACCTGGGGGAGAGGGGCTCTGAGAAGGCCAGGGGAAGGCAGGAAAATGAAAGTAGAGAGGGGCAAAGACCCAAGTTTCCAATTTATACGATTTAATCAAAACTATCTTTAAAACTAAGAAAAGAACCAAAAAATATGTCAACGATTTATTCTTCCTCCCCACAGATCACCCCTCACAGTCACACCTCACCTTCCGTGGCTGGAATCAGGCTGCACTCAGATACAATGCATGTTAAATATTTCTTTCTGGGCTAGCCTGGGGACCTAAGAACCTTCTATAACATTGTTGGGGGCAAGGTAGGGGAGTGCATTCCGCTTCTCAGAAGTGTTTCACACCCACCCAGCAGCAGCACCCGTGTGTTACAGGCTCAGGGCAGTGGACTCCAAGACCTGATGGTTGCTCTTAAGGGCTGGGACTTTTGTTTCAGTTCTGGGGATAAACCCAGGGCCTTTTGCATCCTACTCAAGTGTTTCACCACTGGGCTTTATAAATATCCTCAACTCTTAGTTTGGGGTCTCACTGAGCCATGGCTGGCCTGGAACTCACTATGCAGACCAGTCTGGTCTCAAACTCATAGAAATCTACCTGCCTCTGCCCTGGTCTTAAGGGCGAGTGCCATCACATCCATCAGCCTTCGGTTTTGGCTTTTTGAGGCAGGGTCTTGCTTGCTCTGTAGCTCAGCCTGGCCTTGGCCCCTCTGTATAGCCTGGCTGGATGCAAACTCTGGGTCTTCCTGCCTCTGGCTCCTGAGTGCTGGGATTGCCATGCTATGCCACAGGACTTTAAAAAAAAAAAAAAAAAAAAAAAAACATGGTGTCTCAATATACTTGAAAAAAGCAGTGTTTCAATATACTTCACCTTTTTATTTTTGAATGAACTTGTTTCAGAAACCTTCAAAGTGTGTGGGTGGAGCTAAGAATCAGCTTTCGGACATCACTTTCACAGATAAAGAAACTTTTGGAACCCCAGCCCTTAAAGCCAGAATTGGAACCTGCCACACAGGAGCCACGCCCTTTTCAACAGCCACGGTCCCCTGACTCATGGTGGCATCTGAGGCAGTTAAGGCGGCCCTCCTCGCAGAGATAGGGGCACACTTCCTTTCTCTTAGACAGAGGGAAACACCCCTATGGAATGAATTCCAAGGTCGCTGTCCTACAAGACAATCTAGAGTTGGTGACGAAGAGTGAGCCGAGATTGTTCTATTTCAAGAGTGGGGTGGGGGTGTGCTGGATACCCCAGTTTTCAACTTCTTGTTCACCCCTAGGCCCTCCCTCCTGTATCTTGTCCAAACTCCACAATTGCATGTCTATTTCAAGGAAATTAACCTGAAATACAGGATAGTAACTTTTCAGAGTGGGAAAGCTGAGTCAAACACGGATGGAAAAGTCCAGAGCCCACTGCTTAGGGCCCACACCCGGCCACACCCAGTCCTGCTCGGACCACGTCTGCAAGGCGGAGCCCCTCGGCTGCTGACAAGCACAGCGTCTCCCGCTTCCCGGGAGGCTCGAGGAGCAAGCACGACCCCCTACTCTGCCCTGCACCCCTAGTGCACAGAGCACCTTCACCTTCCCGACCGACCACTTGCAGCGTTGCTCTGCCACCCGCAGAACACCTAGGGCGGCCAGTCCCTCACAGTCCCCTGCGGGTCCCCGGGGCCGTCCCCACCCTCCAAGGCCGCTCCCTCCCCAGCCCCGCTCCGCCGCAGCCCCGGGGCCATAGCGGGCACCGGCCGCGCCCCGGCTTACCTGGGCCGGGCGCCTAGCACTGCGAGCGTCCCCAGATGGCGAGCAGGACCTGCTGGCCCGGGTGGGGCTTTTATACCAGCCACATCCTCTCCGCGAGGCCCGCCCCGCCCCGCCGCCCCTCCCCGGGCCGCTCCCACCCGGCTCCGGGTGACTCACCCTCCCCAGCCCGCCGCGCCCTGGAACGCCGCCCCGGCCCTGCCTGGGGACAGTCCGGCCTCCCCAGCACCACTGGCCCCAGCCCGTGGTACTCCAGGGTACCGCGTCCCGGGCTCAGCCTGGCCGTAGGCTAACAAGCGAGTAATAGGCTAATAAGCTAATAACCTCAGCAAACTGGCTTAATTCACTTTTTTTTCTTCTTTTGGGCTTCTAGGCGCCAATGCCACGGAAGGCAAAAATGATTCCAAGACACAAAAATGTGAATTCCCCTGAGCTTGGCTGTTGGCACCCAGCTCTCCATGACCTTCTGCAAACATTAGCTTAACCTCTGGTCACCAGCTGGAGGAGCGGGGAGGGTGGTTTGCCAGGTCTGGCGGTGCAAAACTTAATCCGCTTTGGACTCCAAACCCTCAGGGAGGAGGTCTCCACTAGTGGGAGGACGAGGGTTTGGGCCAGGAGCCTCTGTCCCGCCTAGGAAGGCGCCCTGTCCCCGGAGACAGCAGTACCCCAGTGCTCTGTGGGTCTCGGGACCCGTTGTGCCCCCTTCCCGACCCCCTGCCCCCGGCAGCCCTGCCCTGCAGTTCTAGGCTTTGAACGTGAAGTTCCAACAGAGTCCTCCTGTCTTCATTCCTCACCCCAGTCGTTTTCGTATGTTTTGTTTTGATTTGTTTTGTTTTGTTTTTTCTCACGTGCTTGACGAACTTCTCCCTGGGTTTCACTGTTCCTTTTCTAACCTACTTTACAAAAGAGTCACATGCACATCACAGGCATCCAACGGCTGCATTCCACCGTCAAGCTAGCAGAATCTGGAATTAGGTCTTGAAATGCCCTCCTTGCTCTTTCTCCCAGTCTTGATTCCATCTTATCTCCTTCTATCTGTGTGAGTGTGTGGGGGTGCACGTGAGTGCTGGCCAGATGTTGTAGGTCCGCACTGGTCCACCTTGTTTGAGACAAGTTCTGGAGCTCACAGATTAGGCTAAGTGGCTAGCCATAAGCCTTTTGCCTAGGTTGGGGGTAAAACATCTGGTCCTTCTGGTTGGGCTACAAGTGTTTTACCAGCCGTGCTATTCCCCCCCACCCCCACCCCCCGCACATCTCATTTTAAGATCTCTTTATTCTTTCTCCTTGGTCCTTATTTCAGTCCTAGGAACCAGAGGATGACAGCCCAGCCAACAAACATTCAGTGCTGCACCTTCTGTCACAACGGTAAAGTCTGCCCCAACTGGGGTCTCAACACTCAGCCCAGATCCTGGGTTACCCAGTGTTGTCACTAGGCATTACACAAGAACCCCATCAAAAGACAAGTAGAAAACAAAGCGACAATTTTGATACAATTCTGATTTGCATTCAGGGCTCCCCAACTTTGACCACTCTAAAGATGGAAATCACGTTTATGTCTTCTGGTTGTGAAAACCTTGGAATGTGAGAAGAATGCAGGCACACAGTACCAGAGGAGGATTCTGCCTCCGTGGGCTTCCCCACGGAGGCCCCACAGCCTCTTACTTCTACTTGTGCTGTGGGAGTTCTCTACAGAAAACATTTATTTAATTGACATCATGTGGAATCTACAAAAGCCACCAAATAGCCAAAAGAATTTCTGGTTTTAGGCTTCCGGTAAACCTGAACTGTACAATACCAGACTTTATTCACCTTATGCTAAACTTTGCAGAGATCTTATCACAACCCAAGGCTATTAGAAGTCACAGTTTGCTATTTCTGAGGAAAGTGAGGCCAGTTGTGCTAATATAAAATCTTCATCTGAAGAGTCTCTTTCTTCTTTCCTGTGGGCTCAGATGATGTCAAATGTACGGTCTTTTCTGAGTGCTTGTGTTTGGCCTATCTTAATGTCTCTAATGGTGTACAGCTAGCACTGATAAACACTCACTAGATGTTATAGAATGATAAAACAAAATTATTCACAGCAGAAAAGAATGTGAGAGTAGGGAGGGAACTTAGAAATTAACTTGTCCTATCCTTGAGTTTTATCCATGAAGAAATTTGAATTCAAATACTCCCCTGCCTTGTCCAGGAATTCAAAGATGCAGCCAAGGTCTTCCTGTAGTTTACTACACTGTAGCAGTGTAGTAAACCACTCCCCGCACCTTAGCAGTTAAAGCATAAATTCCCATTATTTGCTCAGGATTCTGCCATTGGGGCAAGGTTCGCTGGGGACTCACTTTGTAATTCAGTGAGGGTTGGAAGATTCAAAATGGCTTCGTTCAGTTGTCTGGGACCTAGGCCAGGATTAGTAGAATGAGAGAGGACCGAATTTGTAGGTAGGCCCCGGGTTTGTAGCTAAGAAGTTACATTATATCACAATTATATAGTTTTATACCAGCAGAAGTTCAAAAGTTTAGAACTTGGCTGGTTGTGGTGATGCATGCCTTTAATCTCAGCACATAAAGTCACATTACCCAGGCTTAAGGGACTATAGATTTGCATCATTGGAAAAGGAGTGACATGATTTACAAAGTGGAAGGAACTGTGGTCAGCACTCTCTGCAGATGGTCTACTGACAATCCTTAAGTGGTAAATAGAGCATAGTCCAGGACATATTCTTCTGTGTTTCAATCCACTGGTTTTTCCTCTGACTATACTGTGTTTCTCAGTTGCCACCTCCCCATCAGAGAAACTACTGATCCCACAAACCCTGTTTGATACTGGTTAGATGTTCAGTAGCCTCAAACCACTGTCTACTCGATCCTGTCCCAGCAACCAGTATATGTTAATATCTTATCCTTAGACACATGATCAGAAGAGGAAGAGGAAAAGGATTTGTCTAGAAAATCCAGCATGCAAATTATAGGAATTTTAGAAAGAAAAAGTAGGCAACACAGAAGAGAAAAAAAAAATCTAAAAAATAACAAAGACATTGTTCTAGAAATAAATTCCATGAGATGTTAGGTTGAAAAAGCTACAGTGGCTCTGGAGAGATGGCTCAGTGGTTAAGAGCAGTTGCTCTTTCAGAGGAGCAGAGTTTGGTTCCCAACACCTAGATCAGAACGTTCATAACCACCTGTACCTCCAGCTCCAGGGAATCCAGCATCCTTCTTCTGGCCTCCAAGGGCACCTGCACACGTGGCAGACACATACACATATAAATACATACACATAATAAAAATTAAAAATGAGGGGCTAGAGAGATGGCTCAGGGAACCTGACATCCTCTTCTGGCCTCTGAAGGCATTGCATACATGGATGCACTTACATACATGCAGGTAAAACATTCATACACATAAAATAAAAATAAATAAATGTAAATAAAAATAAATCCGAAGGAGAGGGAAAAAAAGAAGGAAGGAAAGAAGGAAGAGGGAAAGAAATAAAAAGCCACAATTAACAAACCAGCTAACCAACCCAAGGCACATTGTCATGGCATTTCAGAACATTTCTGAAAAGAGAAAAACATTCCCTAAAGACTCCGGAAAGATGAAACGGGCCATGCTGAAGGATCAAAAATGAACATGGTATTACATTCGATTCATAAATCTTGGTTTATAAATTCTGTGCTCCAGAGGAAGGGACCAGCACTCCTTGGAGAAATGTTTGCTCCTAGGGATGGGACAGAGGAAATAAGAGGTGAGCTTTGTGCTTAAACAACTAGTAGGAATATATGAAAAAGACTCAAAAGCCAATTTAAGGAGACTCTCACTTGTACTCATTTGGGATGATTTGGAAATCGAGTTGAATATTGCTAGGCGGCAATTATATTACACTGAATAACATAAACAAATAGTTTGTTTTTAAAAGTTTTTTATTTTATGTGTATGAGTGTATTGCCTATATTTAAATAAGTGCACCTGTGTTTTGAAATACCCAAGGAGGTCAGAAGAGGATATCAGATTCCCCTGGAACTAGAATTACAGACAGTTGTTAGCTGCCACCTGGGTCCTGGAAATCAAACCCAGGTCCTCTGCAACAGTAGTCAGTGCTCTTAACTTCTGAGCCATCTCTCCAGTTCCTAAACTAATAGTTTAAAAGAATTCACAAGAAAGTCAAATGGATGGGGAGAGCACTAGGCAGGGTGCTCAGTCGGTAAAGTGGTTGCTTTAAAAGCATGAGGGCCAAGCTTGATCCCACAATCCATGTAAAAATCGGAGTGTGGCGATGTGCCTTTGTAATCCCAGCAGTGGGAAGTTGGGGAGGGGGAGGTAAGTGGATCCCTGGGACACGATGGCTAGTTCCTGGCCAGTGAGTGACCCTGTCTCAGAAGAAATAGGGATATGATGCCTGAGGAGCTACAACTGAGGTTGTCTCAGGCCTCCACATACCTGTGCACACACACACACTCATACACACACACACACACAGAAACACATATAAGCACAGGCACAGACACACAGGCACACACACGAACAGACACAGACATGCACACACACGAACAGACACAGGCATACACACACAGAGGCACATACATACAAGGTTAGATAGGGAAAAATGCTCATTTACAGATAAAGAACAATTTATAAAAGTGTCGGGAAAGATACCCACGCAACCTTTGAAAACCTGTTTTCTCCTCGAAGTTTCTTTCTCATTGGCAGGACTCAAGGATAAAGAACACCTGGTATATTGTTAAGTGCTAGCTTTTTAAGTCTCTTCAGCACTGGCCTTGCTGAATGCACAAGACTTCAGCCAGACCGTGCTGAATTCAAGGGACATGGCCCAAAACATACAGAGGCCTACACATAAGCAAACCACAGTTTAAACTTTGTTTTGAGATATTTTCAGACAAACATCTGTAAGAAACATCTGCAGGGACCCCAATGTTGTTCTCAGATAGTTCTGATTCTCTGTCTCTACAAGGCAGCCACAATGATCTTGTGAACATGCAATTCAGCATTTTGTTGTTTTGTTTTATTTTTGGTTACTTGATGTGGTGGTCTGAATGAGAAGTTCATTTGAATTAGGTTTGAATAGCTCCCCCAGAGGCTCAAGTATTTGAAC